TATCTTATTTGTGAATCACTCAGCTGTAGATCCTCAAATCAACTCTGAGGGCCTGTTCACACTAGTTGCAGTGCGTTCTGGCCCGATTCTGGCCAGAACGCACTGCCTCGCATTGCGGCCGGCTCACTTTTTAGTGGGGCAGGAGTGGGCGTGGTGGGCCATTGGAGTGAATGCCACTGTAGCCACGCCCTCCGGCCGCAATGCGATCGGCCGCACGGAATCACAAGGCACATTATACCTGCGGTCTGGTCTGGTCTGATGCGATCGAAATAGTGCTTTCAGCATTTTGATCGCACCGGACCGCAGGCATAATGTGCCTTGCGATCCCGTGCAGCCGATCACATTGCGGCCGGAGGGCGTGACTAGGGTGCCATTCACTTGAATGGCCCGCCACGCCCCCTCGTGCCCCACTAAAAAGTAAGCCAGCCGCAATGTGAGGCATTGCGTTCTGGCAAGAATCGGGCCGAAACGCACTGCACCTTGTGTGAACGGGCCCTGAATTGGTGCTGACACTGTCCTTCCTTCTGGAGAGTGGCTACGTTTGTTCCCCATGGCCCCTGTGTGTGTGTGTTGCAATGCAGCTACCACTCCAAGCTCACTCCCGTGATGGACTATAACTTCATTGCAAATGAGCTAACTATGATGAGCTACAAACAAATCTATTATCTACAGTGTGCAACAGGGAATACTTATGTAGGAATGATAAAACTTGCCACGGTTTTTAGATTTAGATGTTTTTGTCTGCTTCAATCATATTTTTTATGAAGCTATGTAAGATGGCCATTCATGTTTTCTTGTTGTCTTTTTGTAAGATATAAAGTGGTCAGAGTTTGTTGAGCTTCAAAGCAGGGGGACTTATGTGGGTTATATTCTAAATCTAATGTTGATTATACAGAGGTTGTACCATCAGATTGTAACTTGAATGGTGAGCTTTATACTTCACCCAGGTGAGAATGACGTCCCCTCCGCTCTTGAAGCCTCCCGGGTGATGCATATCACATATCTCAGGATTCATCAGTTTCAATACAGCAGCCCCAGAAGGGTGGATCTGAAAGCACATCATCAGGGGGCCAGCTGCCTGAACCAGAAGGAGACAGCCAGCTCCCATTGGTGCCAGAAAGGAATATGG